GTGTTAGGAGGAGGGGCGTCGTGGAAGCGAAGCCGCGACTCTGGTTCGTGGCTCTGCTTAAGAGAACGGCAGGAAATGTAAAATACAGAAGAGCAATTAAATCCTCCTTGACAAACTCCATATGGAACGATTTTGTTATCTCAAAACTGAAGAAAACACAGGAAATACGGTTTAAAAAAAAAAATAAAAAATAATCCAGTGCCCAACCTGCCTCGCTTCCTAGAGCGCATCGGAGGAACGCGTTGAGCAAAACGAGCTCTGGGGGTTTAGTAACGCGATTGATTCCATCCCAGAGAGGACACCGAGCTCCTCCGCGCCCTCGGCGGGGACTCGAGCTCTCGGCGTTTGTTTGCCCCAGCTTGAACGCCGCGCGCGGGGCTCCCCCCGCCTTCGCCCCCGTCTCACGTCACCTGTTGTTGTTCCGACAGTTTCGGCAATTGATGCACTCCGAGGGGTCAGCCTGCGGCACTGCCGTGTACATCCCGCCGCCCTGCAGCAGGAGGGATTAAAAAACACAACACGACACAGAATTAAGGTCAGGCGCTACTCCGAGCGCCGCCGGGAAGGGGGTCCAGCTCCAAGCCCCGTCGCTGTGTTCCCAAGCCCCAGTCACCGCATCAATCTTCAGATCCGCGCCCCCGCAAGGCGGGCGCAACACTGCGCTATTGTACAAAGCCGGGCGGAGGGGGCTTTGCCAGCCTGTGTGTCAGAAGAAAAGTAAATAACGGCAGCTTAGACAAGTATGTGGTAATTTCCCTGGTCTGTTTTCGGCTTAATACGCTCAGGTTTAATTGAATAAACACGCTGTAAATATGTTTATTTTTAACACTGATGACAGACATGAAAGCAAATCGCTGTTCGTTAGCAAACGGTGCCCGTTTGGGGAGACGGAGCATTACAGTTGCAGGGCTGATGTCACAACATAAACCCATCCCACTTTCCTGCAATTACTCCGATTAGATCAGTTTACCTCGCTACACTGATTTTTGAAACATTTAATATTTTTACAGATGGGGTAATTCCTTAGCCAGCAATGACTCTGGGTGAGAGGGATTTTGTGTTGTTGGTTTTGGCTGGAGGGGCCATTACAAGCGAGTAAAAATGCCCAGATTAACACATACCTCATTGTTAAGGACCAGGCGGACACCGATGCGGGAGCCGCTGGAAAACGGCGCTGCGGGGCCGGGCTACCTCGCCGCCTTCCAGGAGGGGAGCCCGTTTGGGAAAGCTCACCTGATTTTTGAGGTTTCAAGTGGTAGGTAACATCTAACGGTGCCTATTTCTGCCAAAACAGGGCTTACCCTGAAGTTTTTGAGGCCTCTCGGTGCGATAGGGAGCACTGAGGAAATGCCTAATTAGTCTTGATTGCCATCCTGGCCAGTTTCTCTCTTCCTCATTTAGCCCAATCAATGAAACAATAAAGAGAGTCCTAACGAGGATGAGAACATCCTGTTCCTCTGTGCTGCCTCACCCCGTGTGCCAGTCCCGCTCCTTCTACGTGGGAAGAGATTGCGTGACTCAAACTTTCTCTCAAACATGGGGTGGGGGGAGGAAGAAAAACCCCAACCCCATCAATGATTCGCAACGAGACAGCGGCGCTGCGTGTCCCATCTCGCGGCTCGGAGGAGCTCCAAGCACCGAGACCTGTGTTACCACATGCACGCTTCCTTCCTTCCAAAAAAATAAGAAGTTAAAAAAAAAACCAAAACCAAACCATACAAAATAGGAGGGACAAAACATCAAGGCAAGCCCCCAAACCTTCTCACGGGCAAGCTTTTGAGCACTGCAAAATCCTCCCTTCCTGAGGACTTGTCCAGCTGGGGGCTTCTGGAGTCTGGGGAGGTTGAAGAGGTCCAACACCCACGGCTTGGGCCTCGGTTGCTCTTGAAAGCAACCAAAAAAACCTGGCGCTTCTCGCTACGTGAGCAGACCCAAAGAGAGAATCAGGTGAAGAACCAACTGGTCTGGACTCCGCGCTGGAGTTAACTGAAGTGGCAACTACTGTGCAAGTGCTAATTTGTTGTTCAATAAAACAAAGTGCTTGTGTTCAATTACTAACACAAACAATAGCCCCATTTTTTTTCCCTCCAGAAACAGCATGGGTTATTCAGACTTTTGAACTTTTTCTTTCAGTTTTCCTGGGCAATGTTCACAGTTTTGAGTAAGTTTAGTAAGTTTGAATGCAAGCCATCTGTTTCCATAGACAATAATGAAATCATTATTCTCTCTTGGAAACGGGACACATTTCAGCAAATGAAGTATTTTTCCACAGCATACAAAGGCTGGATCCCAGACTTAAATTAGGTTTTAATTTTATTTTAAATTTCAAAACAAAAAAATGAGCCTGTCTCAGTCACAAGCAAGAGACTGGGGGGGAAAAAATAAAATAAAATAAAATAAAATAAAAGACAGCGTTATTACGTTGCTGCATTTCAAGATGTATGGGGCATTTTATTTTATGGAACCTCCTGCTACATTCGTGCTTTGCCATAATTAATAGCATTGCTTAGAGTTACAGATCTGAAACAGGTGGGGGAAAAACGGGTGATCCATAAAGCTGCAGAATAAGCAGCTATAATTAAATCTATTTAACTTGAAGATTGAGAAATACCATATGTACGAGTAAAGTATCTCAGCCCAGGACTGAAGCATTCTCAGAGCTTACATGCTGTTAGGAGGAGGGTAGAGGCAGATTTCCCAGAGTAAGTGGAATTCTTGCTGTCATCTGATATTCTCAAATGAAAACCATGATGTTTGTATCAGAAATATCAGCCCAGTTGCTTCCTCTGGGATAAGTAATTTAGTGGAACTGGCTGTTATCAATGGGTGAGTGTTTCCCCCACCCGAATTAAGTCTGCTTCCACAACCTCTGAATAAATCCCAAGGTCTAGGCTGAGCCTTCCGCCCAGCGTTAAGAACTTACGTTCACAAGATGGTGGGGATGTTCGTAGTCCACGTGCGTCCTGGACAGGGAGTTGGTGTGCCCTGGGTACAGCCCGGCTCCTCCGTTCATGATCCCATTAACTCCATTAGCAACTTTATGATGGACGTGCGGACAGCCGTTGCCGAGGCCGCCGTTGCTTATGAAGCTTCCGTGGATGCTGCCGTTGACTCGGCTCGTGCCGGGTAAGGTTGTGTACTCAATCATTTGCCCGTTGATATCCGTCCCTTGATAGAGGTAGCCAGGAGGGTCATATTCTGCAAAAGACATTACCCCTGAAAGCATGTTTACTGCCAAAGGAGAACTTAAACGAGCGTCTCCAAGAAACAAAAGAAGCTTATTTTCTCTTTCTACAGCTTTTGTAAATTAACTGTAGTATCTCAGTGCTCAGTATACAAATGTAGAAATGGAAAACAGCCACATCCGGGAGAACAGACTGGGAACGCTGGTCTGAAAGGACTCGGCTGACGTTAGTCACCATGAAGAGCACCCTAAAACCAGGCCCTTTGTGTAATCAATAGGTCCTCTGCTATCTGCTACGAACTCCTTCCAGAAAATATCTCTGGGCCGCAGCTGAAGACACTACCTTATCTCTCACAAGAAGTTTTGTTTCATTCCTCTTTGTCAGAGAGTAAGGCCATTTAAAAATAACCACAGGCTGTGGCAAGAGCAAGGCTGATGTCGTCATCAGGATCCTGATGTCGGCATCAGGATCAGAGAAGGGATGGCTGAAGGGATTCGGCTGGCACGGAATCGGGTACAGAGCGCCTTGCAGAGCGCGCTTAAGCTCCAACGCGTCCGCTCAAGGCTCCTACTTGCACGCTGGCGGGTTTTCCTTATTAACAACTCTCTAAAAGACTTGGACATTGAACTCCGTTTTACTGTGAAGGGAATGAGAGGCAACAAGGGACTTGTCCTCCAAGTGCTGCAAGTTCTTTTTCTCTCTTTTTCTTATACACAAGAGAGGGAGATCTGGGCTTTAAGTCTCCACGTTTTAACGAGTCCTTGTGATTATACACAAGTTCTGCCATTGCAATCAGCAAAAATCTGTGCAGGTGCTTGAAGTTCAACATAAGCTGAAGGAACTTTGCCTGGGAATTTCACAAACCCTTCTCGGGGTGAAACTGCAGCACAACCGTGCAGCAACGCAGTGAGCGTCAACACAAAGAAACGGAGACATTGATGCTCTTAAAAAAAACCAAACCCCACATCTTCACCCAAGGCACGCCTAGAAAGTACAAGTCCCTAAATAAATGCCAGTTGGCTTACAACAGGAAACCGCTTCCCGTTCATAAAACGTCACAGGAACGTTACTAGTTTTGCTCCGATAATACTTTCGTCATGAAGGGAAGCCAGAAACAACTCACTCTGCATGGCGTTTTGCTGGCGGTTCTTCCAGAGGCACATGGCAATGAAAACGATGAGAATGAGGACCATCACCCCAAGGACGCAGCCCACGATCAAGTACAGCATGTCACTGCTCCGAACGGGGCCGTTGGAAGGCCCAGCTCCGCTTCCCCCAACCCGGTCGGGGGGATTCGGTGGCGTACTCAGGTCCTTCGCTGGATATTCGGATGCTCCCGGCGTGCGTTTCACTGGATGAAATGAGAGACAAGGACGGGTACGTTCGCTAAATGCGTTTTTGGAATGTGTTTTTGTTACGAAACGAAGGTAATTACTGCTGAGTTAGAATCCCAATGCCTCAAAGAGAAAGCTTCCAAGTCAATATTAAAACCTGTAACGAGAAGGCCAACTGCTATTGGGTAATAACTATTTGCCTTGGAAAATGGTTATTATCCAGCTCGCTAACCCTCTCATTGAGGTCACTCGAAACTTTAACGAGCAACTCGCCGTACGCATGGCTAGAATGGCACTAGCTCCTGACTTGAAAGAGCGCAAATCTTTCCACTTCTGAGGTCAGGAAAAACCACAACGTGCATTTCTATCGCCTAACCGCTGCCAGATGACCTACTTCTATCTGGTGTGAACCCCCTTAACCCCATTTCCAAAACCATACTCCTGAAGATACTAAGAGCTGAACAGAAAATCACCGAAAACGAGATGCTAGTTAACCCGGGAATTAAATTTACAGCCACAGCTCAGATTCATTCCATTTGGCGCTAAAAACCCAGAAGAGGTGCCTGGCTTAGGAGCGAAGCTGGTCAGAGATTCGCAAGCACCTCCACGCAGATACGTTGGATAAGCTGGGTCACCCCCGCGAGCCTGGAGGAGATGCATTTTAAGGAGCAGTCGGCACGAAGGGCAGCTTACATCGCCAGCTTTAAAATTAGGGAAGAAAGTTCTACTCCTTGCAGGAGGAAGGCCAACCGTGCGCCCAGCCTTGGCGCCCTGCAGCTCCTAGCCCTTTTTTTGAGGGCTTTGCTACTAACTGAGCTAAATTTTGATGCTTCCGCTCCTAGAGGGTTTTTTCTCTTTTTTTTAAAAAATGTTTTTTCGTAGCGCTGCATTTGAAGTTTGCTGTCTGCATTTTCCCTTCACAGCCTTACTTGGTTTTAGAGATTAAAGGAGACAGGAATCCTTCGCAAAATAAATGCGACTGCCGTATCTGACACTTCCAGGGAACAGCACAAACTTTGTGCCAGAGGCACGCAGGATTAGTGATGGAGGCAGCCAACATAACCATCAATTGCTGTGGCCTGCACTTATACAACGCGTCACAGAGCCCCGAAGACATAAAACAGACGTACAAATCAATTCTGTCATCCTCAGGAGCATGGTTGTCTCCTAGGGAGAGGCTATCAGCACAATAAAAAAAAAAAGAAAAAACCCAACCCAGGACAACAATATTATCTCTTAGGCCTGGCAAATCTGCAGAGATTTGCTAAGAGCCTCTCTCGGGAGCACAACGTATCGGTTTCCGTATGCTCAAAACAATCCCAGCTTCGGAAGACAAAACAATCCTCCAAAACATTCCAGAAAGTTACGGTCTTCGTCACGGCCGACTCTTGCGCTGCAAAAAACCAACCTCAACGCAGCGGCGATTTCGCGCTGCAAACCGCCACCCCCGGCTGGACGCGCTAGGCCGGCGCTCACCTTTGGTTTCGCAGATCATCACGTTGCTGTACTCGCTTTCACCGCCTTCGTTATAGCACTGCATTTTAATGTCGTAAGATGTTTCTGGCTGCAGGTGATTTATCAAGTGCCATTGCTTCGTACCTAGGGGGGAGGAAAAATATAAAAAAAAAGTCAGTCACCTGTATTTTGTTTACTCGCACAAGCCAGAATTAGGTAGGAGTATGTCGCAGCGTCTTTCTCTATAAAATGCAAGCTTTTCCTGTTGGCACAAAAGTCTTTATTAACCATTTATGGACTTATCTGAATCATAGAATCATGGAATGGTTTGGGTGGGAAGGGACCCCCAGAGGTCACCCAGCCCAACCCCCCTGCAGGAGCAGGGACACCTTGAACCACATCAGGTTGCTCACAGCCCCGGCCAACCTGGCCTGGAATGGTCCCAGGGATGGGCCCTCCACCCCCTCTCTGGGCAACCCCTGCCAGGGTTTCACCACCCTCATGGTAAAGAATTCCTTCCTTAGATCCAGCCTAAACCTACCCTGGTTTAGTTTCAAGCCATCCCCCCCCTTGTCCTGTCCCAGCTGGCCCTACTAAAAAGCTTGTCCCCCCCTTTCCTCTGGGCCCC